CACACACACACACACACACACACACACACGCATACACACACACACACACACGCTCACTCACACTACTGTAGACCTGAGACTGCATCTGTAGGCTATGTGGCGCTTTGACTCCACCTCTGCAGAACTGACTAGATAGAGTAGTGAAACATATTTAGTATTTAATTTTAAAAAAAATTCAAGCTTCTCATCAGAATTAAACCAATCCAAATATGCCAGGCAAGATTCAACTTTATTGTATGAAAACTATATATGGGATGAATGTCATTTAACTCTATCCCCCCAAAAAATTTAGTTTTAAAATCTCCAGTAGATGTACTCACTAAAAACTGTTAGATCTAATCAATCAAGCACTTATATTTCTCTTTTATGAAATGAAACTAAATGAGTAGACCTATATTCTATGTGTATAGATCTATGAATTTTGCAATATTTAGAATCTAAGTGCACACATGAGAATATGGGCCACCACAGTGTATTATTTATTGTGAGCACCAGTCTTTTGTATAGGCCTGCTGTAAAACTCTGTGTTACAATCCAAGTTTTTCGCACTCCTACCAAAAAATTATAATTTATTTCTGATGTTTAAAAAAATGGGTTATGAATTATCGGAAGGCTGACTTTGGTTCTTAAAGTCACCTATACGTGTACCATGGAATGCATTGTGCGCTGAGCAATTTGAACTGTACGTACTGCCTTTGGAAATCTGCATCTTGAACAATTCTAGTGCAGAATGCTGTGGCCATGCTGTTTACTGTTCCAAACCCTCCAAAATAAATAATTATTGTTCCCTCCAGGCCAGTTCCAAAGGATACAGGTCCTGTCCATGACAAAAGATCTAATAGTGTCTGCAATGTGATGTGAGAGTTTTGAAGAAGAAATTAAAAGTGGAAGAAAAAAAAATACTTGACATCTAAGAAGACAATGTCCTGCTGTAATAAATGTACTACGGAATACATGTAACAAAATTAAAGAGACCAAAAAATTACAAAGCTTACTTAATTATTATTAAGTAAGGAAGTGCTAGCTTGACCCTGTCAGGACCACCCTTGAATTTTGTAATGTCCCAAATTTATGTGCCTGACAGAGAAGTATGGACATAATATACAAAAGAATCAGCAAGAGACAATGCATACAGCAAAACAGTCTAAGAAAGACTGTCACATTCATCAACTTAATTGTAAGAGCCAGTTTCAATAAAATGCTATTAATCCATGAAAGATGCATTATACATGTTTATGTATACATATATATATATATATATATATATATATATATATATATATATATATATATATATATATATAGGCCTCTGGTGAGTTCGATCTGTCGCTTTGTATTCCTGTTTTTATCCATATGCCTAGCCTAGGCTACACAAAACGAAATCTGTTTTCTATTTCTACAGTCTGTTGCCTTTTCTCACCGTTGCCTATAGGCATATAGATCTAAATGCTATTGCATGCTCTCTTTCTTTCCTCTCCAACTCTTCCCTACCCACAGACCCCATGCAGGGCTATGTAACTAATTAGTAAAATAAGTAAAAATATATTAACCTTTATTAGGCTATCTTAAATTAAACTGCTTATGTTGTAAGCTAGATATCTAGATCAACACGTGTATTTAGGCTAAGGCAGGCATATTTTTATTATGCTGGAAACCTATAGATCTAGAATCTAGATCTAGAGTCTAGATGACTTTTTTTCTTATGTAACTACTGACACTGTCGACTAGATAATTAGGTCTCTAGAATCTAGATCTAGATCTAGATAATCTAGATGTCGATTCTAGATCTAGATCTAGATCTAGTTTTCAGTCTACATTATCAAGACATGTTTTGGTTTTATGCTAGATCGACATTATTTTATTACTTGGCCTAGATCTAGAATTCAATTTTAAAATCTGTTGTCCTGTTTTCATCAACATGTGTAACCTTTTCCGTAGACCAGAAGAGTATAGAATTGTAGAGGCATTGTTTACAAATGCAACCTTGGCCAGTTCTCTGATTGCGCTAGGCCTAAGCCGCAGAAAGCTAGGCTCTAGACGCGACGCGCTTCGTTTCGAAAGGCCTAACGCGCTTCGCTGTCGATACCGCGCCTGGTTATTTTTAGCTCGCGTCTCAGCGGTCACGTTCGCAAATGCACTGTTGTCACGGACCGCGAGGCTTCGTTTCCTGTCTCTATATTTTAGTGTCTCTGCTTTAACGAACGAAACTGCAAAATCGCCGAAAAAAGCAGGGATTTGAAATCTTTTCGTGTAGCGGAAATTTCCTGTTTAATACCTTTTGTGTTAATTAAACAAAGTCTACCGTTGTTGCATTTTTGAAACCTGAATGAGAGTGATGACTGAAGTTGGAAATTACCGTAAAACATGTTTTAAATTGATCAGCAGCTGAAAATTCGGCTGACATTCCAGCTGCAGTAGGCTGACTACACATCCCACCCACTGTTTCTGCCTTTATGATGTTATTTGTGACTAATGGGCCCAGGCAAGCTTAGGCCACACAGGAGTATGAGGACAGACAGTGAAATGTAATAAAGCATAGAATGTGAGGGGGAGGAGGGGG